TTCCAAATCTGACAAACATCTGCTACACCATGGAATGAACCATCCTCGGAAGGGAAGAGCTCGCTCTCTCGGGTAGCTCCGGTTTCCAAGCAGCCTTCAGCTGGATGGCTGTCCAGGTGCTTACAAGCACCACAGGCAGCAGTGAGCTGCATGGTTACTGCAGAAGTTTCAAGGGAGCGACTATCCATCAGGAATAAGGCATTAACAGTACATGCTACAGATGAGACAAGCAAAAAGGACTTCCAAGAACTGAACAAAAACCACACAGTGCTGAAGACCTCAAAGAGCACGCCCAGAAAGGGGAGGTAATGCATCGCAAGAGGAAATTAGGAAGAAATACTGAATGTGTATGACTGCAACACTTGAGACTTCTCAACTAGCCCAAGGAGCAAGTCTTTTACGCAAAAGTTGCAGTTAATCACTGTAACCAGACAGACTCAGAAAGCATGGCTGTGCACAACTGAGCCATGTCAGGTTCTGCAATCTGAAGCCAGTTCAAGCAACAGTGTCAAAAAACTTCTGTTTCTTAAGTCTTCTACTTTCTAGACTCAGGCTGCAAAAGTGGAAGAGGAGCCCTCACCATTTTTTCCTCTCTTCCCAATAAATTCTTTCCACACCACAGGCAAAAGCTTCGCCATCCTGAGGGAGCAAGACTTGCTAGTTCGTCCTAATGAAGCCTTCTCAGCAAAAAGGTATTTAAACTAAGAGAAGCCTAACTAAAAGCCATTAGACACGAACACTAATTAACTAAAATTCTCTCCGGAGTAGCTCATAACAACCCCCCCCCACGCTCCAGCCGTGTCACTAAGGGAGACCAGCACAAACCCGCAGCAGCAGTGCTCGCTTCCCTCTGGGCGCAGGGGCCCCAGGTTCAGGTGTCCTTCGGCCAGTTTTTATCTACACGGCCCCGTCTGTCAGAGCATCGCCCCGGCGCGGCCGCCGGGCCCCTCGGCGGTGGGGCACCCACCGAGCACCGCCTGCCCCGCGGGACGGCCCCGACCCACCCCGGCAGCCCCGGGGACGCTTCGGGAGCGCGGGGAGCCCAGGGCGGCCGCGCGCCGAGCCCACGGCCGGGCCCCGGGGAGGGAGCCCCCAGCCGGCCCTCACCTTCTTGAGGGCGGGCACCAGCAGCCCCCGCCACTTGGGCGCGTTCTCCTCGCTGAAGAAGTCGTAGAGCAGCGGCTGCGCCTGCATGGTGCCGCGGGGCGCGGGCCGGGAGGGCGGCGGGCGGGCCGGGGGGCGCTCAGCGGGCGCGCCGGCGCTGCCCCTCCGCCGGCGGGGGCGGCAGGCCCGCAGCGAGGGGGGGCGGCGCGTGCCGCATTCCCCGCCCGGGGCGCGGGGGGGGCGCGGGGGACGCGCGGCGGGGCGGGGGTCGCGCGCGGGCCGCGAGGGGCGGGGTCGGAGCGCGAGCGCCGCCGCCTCCCCGGTCCCGTCCTCGCCCGCTCCGGCGGCCGCCGCGGGCGCATGCGCGGAGCGGCGACTCCCTGCCGCCCCCCCGGCCCTGCGCCTGCGCGCGCGCCGCGCGCGGCCCCGGCCTTCCTCGCGGAAGTGACGGCCGGGGGGGCGGCCCCTGGCGGCGGGAGGGCGGCACGACAGCCCGGGATCCCGGGGGATCCTGGGGGACACCCGGCGGGACACCGGGACGGGAACACAGGGAGAGGCGCTGTCCGGTACAGCTGGCTGGCTGCTCGGAGCCGGAGGCCGCGGGGCGGTGTCGCCGCTCCCTGGAGAACTCTTGTCATTTCCCTGCTTACAAACACAGTCGTCTGGTAGGGGGGCCATACGGTATGAGAGATAAGGAAAGGCCCCATTGGATCAAGCAGCACAAGGTCGGCCTGGAGGTTGACAGATGAGCTTGGTTCACAGAGTCACAGAACATGCCAAGTTGGAAGGGACCCACAAGTGTCATCAGGCCCAGCCCTTAGCCCTGCACAGGACATCCCCGGGACACACGGTGTTCCTTGGGAACACTGTGCAAACACTTCCTGAACTCTGCTGGCCTCGGTGCTGAGGCCGGTGTCTGGCCACTTCCCTGAGGAGCCTGTTCCAGTGCCCAACCAGCATCTGGGTGAAGAACGTTTTCCTAATATGCAACCTAAACCTTCCCTGACACAACTTCAAGCCAATTGTTTCTCAGGTCCTGTCACTGGTTCTTGAAAAAGAAGCCAAAAGAAGCAAGGCTGGAACACAAATGAAGCCCAGTGGTTTAAACAGGACAAAACTCGTGGCGGGTCTGGGAGGGCAGTGGGAGGAGGACGATGCTGGGAATGAAAAGTAGATCATTTTGCTCTGCTTTGCAAGGCATCAGAGAGAGCTCGAGGACTGGAGGAGGAAAGAGTGAGCTGCTGTTGGGGAGCATGGCGGGGGAGATGGATATATGGAAACCTTCACTAGTCACTGGAAGGAAGGTTTACGACCAGTTTCCCAGGTAGGAGGATAGGAAAGTACCAGCATAGATTGCAGAGGCATAGACTGCTGAGTCTCCCTTTGTCTCCAGGGCTGGTCACAAAGATTCCTGTCAGGAATGGCATGCATGTTGTGAGGCTCACTTAGAACTGGTGTTTGAGAAGTGCTCTGAGGACAGGAGATGTTCTTGAGACCCAGCAGCGCATCAGCAGGTCGTGGGTGGAGCCTCTGAGAAGGAACTCTCTGCATTGTGCAGCTCCACCCTGGGTGTGTTTCCTCCAAACAGATACTGCTGTCTGGAGCAGTCAAACTTCTGCTTTGGAACAAGGATGAGAGATGGGAATTTTCACGTCTCAGAGCTATTTGCTTGATCTAGCAGCCTGCCTGCACATTTAGGGGCACCATCACAGCATCTTGCAGACTGTGGAGCTGCTGTACTCACTGCCTTGTGATGGAAAATCAGCCTGTTGAAGTAAAATCTTCATCTGCTCTCAAGTATGTGCAACACCAAGTGTAAAACTGCACCAATGCTCTGCTCTCCAGCTCCTCTCTTTGGAGATGAAGGTGCCAGGACTCCTGAATACCAGTGAATGTTGTACAGCATCTCTGTCCTTCAAACAAAGCAGCATTGGGTGACATGGGATTGCAGGCACCGTGTTCTGTTTGTTCAGTCATCTGATGAGGCCACAGCACAGTCCAGGCCTGAGCTCTCCCTGCACCTGGAGCTGCCACAACTGGCAGGACTGAGCCGTTTGGGCGCTCACTGCAGGGCAAGCTCGTGCAGGGAAGAGAACAGAGCTGCAAGCTGGGAGCTGCTTTCACAGGGATGTAGTGCCAGAGAGGTTGGATCCTGAGGGGCCAGAGGAGCTTGGGAAGTGCAGGGAGCCAGGCAGTGGAATGCCCTGCCTTTGTGCCAAGAAGTGAAAGTGAGGCTCACTGCTGTTGCTGTCGGGAGCAGCAACCAAAGGCCACGGCCGGTGCAGTGTTGGCTTTACAGGGGTGTGCAGTGTCCGTGTGGGCAGCACAGAGGCACGCAGGGTCCCCCAGTGCTGCTGGGCGAGGCAGAGGAGGATGAGGTGGATGGTCACGGCAGCCCTTTGCAGTCTCGAGGAGTTACTGTTACAAGGAGTGACAGCACCCCCTTCCCACAGCAGCTGCCATGGGGAATTTAAGGAGTCACATCAGGAAGGGACTGCCAGGAGCTGAGAATGCACTCCTGTATTCAGCCTAGGGGATGCTGCAAGGAGCAGCTGCCTGTCAGAGCAACACAGGGGGGACTTGAATTTGAAAGTGTTGGATTTAAATTAGCTCTAAAGGGCAAATGAAGGAAGCATGGGGAATAAACAGGAGGAGTTAGAGATGTGCACACGCCTGCAGGGCTGTGATCTCATGGGCATCCTGGAGATGTAGTGGGATGGCTCCTATGACTGGAGTGTTGAAAGGACACAGGATCTTGAGGAAGGACAGGCAGGGGACAGAGGTGTTGCCCTCTGTGACCAGCAGGAGTGCACGGAGCTCTGCCTGCGGATGAATGAGGAGCTGACCAAGGGGTTAAAGGTCAGGATTAAAGAGAGAGCGGGGACAGGTGACGTTATAGTGGGGGTCTGCTACAGACCACCCACCCAGGAACACTGAAAGGATGAAACTGCCTACAGACAGGAGGGGCCACACATTCACAGTTCCTGGTCCTCAAGGGGGATTTCAACCACCCTGGCATCTGTTGGAGGGACAACACAGCAGGGCAAAAGCAATCCAGGAGGTTTCTGGAATGCATTGATAGTAACTTCCTTCTCCAAGTGATAGAGGAGCCAAGAAGGAGAAATGCTATGCTGGACCTTGTGCCCACCAACAAGGAGGGGCTGGTGGGGAATGTGAAGCTCAAAGGGAGCCTTGGCTGCAGGGACCGTGAAGTGTTGGAGTTCAAGATCCTTAGGGCAGTGAGGAGGGCACATAGTACATTGCTGCCCTGGCCTTCAGGAGGGCAGACTTTGGCCCCTTCAGGGATCTGGTTGGTAGAGTACAATGGGATAAAGCCCTGGAGGGAAGAAGGGCCCAAGAAAGCAGGTTGATATTCGAGGATCACCTGCTCCAAGCTCAGGAGTGGGGCATCCCAACAGAGAGGAAGTTGGGCAGGAATGGCAGGAGGCCTGTATGGATGAACAATGAGCTCCTGGACAAACTCAGACACTAAAAGGAAACCTACAGGGGGTGGAAGCAGGGGCAGGAAGCCTGGGAAGAATACAGAGAGGTTGTCCAAGCAGCCAGGGATCAAGTAAAGGATCTAAAGCCCTGGCAGAATTAATTGTGGCCAGGGACATCAAAGATGACAAGAAAAGCTTCTGTAGGTATGTTGGTGATAAAAGGAAGACAAGGAAAAATGAAGATCCTCTCCGGAGGGAAAGGGGAGACCTGGTTACCCGAGACATGGAGCTGGCTGAGGTACTCAGTGACTTTTTTGCCTCTGTCTTCACCAGCAAGTGCTCCAGCCACACTGCCCGAGTTGCAGAAGGCAAAGGCAGGGATTGGGAGAATGAAGAATCACCCATTGTAGGAGAGGGTCAGGTTCAAGGCCATCTCAGGCAGCTGAAGGTGCACAGTCCGTGGGACCTGATGAGACGCATCCACAGGTCCTGGGAGAACTGGTGGATGAAGTGGCTAAACCATTAGCTATCATTTGAGAAACTGTGGCATTCTGATGAAACGTCCATTGACCTGAAAATGGGAAACATTAACTCCATTTTTAAAAAGGAAGAAAAGAAAGATCCAGGGAAATACAGGCCAGTCAGTCTCACCTCTGTGCCTGGCAAGATCATGGAGCAAGTCCTTCTGGAAACTCTGCTAAGGCACAAGAGAAATAAGGTGATTGGTGACAGCCAACATGGCTTCACTAAGGGCAAATCTTGCCTAACAGATTTGGTCGGAGAATGGATTGAGAGCAGCCCTGAGGAGGACTCAGGAGTCCTGCTGGATGAGAAGCTCAACATGGCCCAGCATTGTGGACCCTCAGCCCAGAAGGCCAACCACACCCTGGGCTGCATCAAAAGCAGTGTGACCAGCAGGTGTAGGGAGGGGATTCTGCCACTCTGCTCTGCCCTGGTAAGACCTGACCTGCAGTGCTGCATCGAGCTATGGGGCTCCCAACATCAGAAGTACATGGACCTGTTGGAGCGAGTCCAGAGGAGGGCCATAAAGATGATGAAAGGGCTGGAGCACCTCTACATAGTACAAAGATGGGGGTTGCTCAGCCTGGAAAAGAGAAGTCTTTGGGGAGACCTTCTATCAGCATTCCAGTACTTGCAGGGAGCCTGCAAGAGAGTTGGAGATGGACTTTTGACAAGGGTGTGCAGTGATAGGACGAGGGGAATGGCTTTAAACTGAGAGAGGAGAGATTTAGGTTAGATATCATGAAGAAATACTTTACTGGGAAGATGGTGAGGCACTGGAGCAGGATGCCCAGAGAAATTGTGGATGCCTCATCCCTGGAAGTATTTTAAGGCCAGGTTAGATGGGATTTTGAGCAACCTGGTCTAGCAGAAGATGTCCCTGCACATGGCAGGGTTGGAACTGGGTGGTCTTTAAGGTTCCTTCCAACCCAAACCATTCAGTGATTCTATGAAAATCTGCACCCAAGGAGGGAAGAAGACCTCTAGCAACAGGAATGCAGCTGTAGGAGATGATGCTGAGCAGACAGCACACCCAGGATTGTTGTCCACAGTGAGGACTTGAGAGTGCACCAGGGGTCTAGTGTCTCCCTCTCCAGACACAT